CACATTGCTCTTGTACTGGTGTATATTTTAGCACTCAGTTCATATACCCTGTAGCTGTCCAGGTTCCTTGTCTTTCTTCCCTTCTGATTTGCTCCTGTCAGTGACTATCTTAAATCTCTTTTTCTCGTTTCCCATGCTGTGTGAGCAGACAGCATCCCCATTCCTTTGCTGAGCTGAAGTTCTCCTCTCTCTCCTCTCCATTTATAAATAGGCTTGCTAAGGCTTTAGTTTCCCAAATACTGATGACCAGAATTGTAAAAGAACACCAGTATTTCATTGTCTGAATTACAAATACTTCATGGACACAACAGACTGGTGCCCTATAGTTGCTTGTGATCAAGTAGTGTATTACCAAGTCCAACACAGTATTATCTTCCAGCAAAAGCATTTCTCATTAGTTCCTGGGTGTATTACCTTGTATTTTGCATTTTTTACTTGCTTTTGCCACACACGGTCTCAAGCTCACCCAACTTCCTCTGATGTCCTATTTCTGTGCTGTACTGCTGTCAGTGTCTCACTTTGTCACCAGCAAACTTCATTGGCACATTCCTGAGGTTTGTGCCAAGCTCACTAGCGAGGTTATTAAATGAGATTTGGGGTTTTTTGAGAATAAGACGAGTCACCCCACCACTAACCTCCTGTCATCTGCTCGTGATTTCCATTTTTCTACCTCTTATTGTTGTTTGCCCATCAGTTAGCCCCTTACTCATCTCCTAATTTCTGTATGTGACTTAAAAGCCTTCAATATTCCTTTACTCTTAGGCTTTTCAAAAGTATGATGTATGATTAAAAAAATAGAAATAAAAATAAATGAGCACAAAGGGAGTTCATGGAGGCAGAAATCCTGGAAGGTATAAATAACCCTGTGTACCAGTAACTCAGTGTGGCTGCGAGTAGGTTGCTTCAGGTCTGCATTTTGGACTGATCTACCTCCTGCTGCAGAGCTGTCATGTTCCAGGGACTGACTGAGCCTCTGTCCTGGGCTTCCATAGCTTTTTTCATGGTCAAAGAGCTGCTGACAGTATCATTTAGCAGCCAGAAAAATCCAGCAGAAGTCCATCACCACAGGACCCTTGTCATTTTGGACATCCTTTTTCAGTGGCTTGATTTGAGCTTTGTCTATTTCATCTTTGCCAAGTGATGCAGAGATGTGTGGCTTCGTTTGAAGGCTTTAAAGTTACTTGCTGATTTTGAAAGCCACGCTCCTGAAATGTGGGGGATCCCACAAGAATTCAGCAGCGCTGGGAGCTGGAAGCTGGTAGGGTTCCCCTCCCCGTGAGACTTTTAAAGTCTCCCAATGAATAGTTTTAATTTCCACCGAGATATAAAGAGTTAGCTTGTTGACAGTTTTCCTACCGAGTCCCTGAATAGGAAGCCTAGAGTGTGTGTGGGCTCTGGAGTATGGGAAAACTCTTAATGGGCCTCTGAGTAAGTGGACAAAAATATTTTTTATTTTCCACACTCATCCATCTGGTAAATCAGTCAGAACTGAAACGTTTAATGCAAATTCTTTCTGAACTAGTGACTTCAGTGCAAAATCAAACAATAAGCTGGGGGTAGGAGGAGTTTTCCTGGTGTTATTCCAGTAACTGACAGAGCAATAGTTTGCTTCCATGGGGTTTTGATAGGCATTGGCTTGGCTTCTCTTTTAAGATCTTAAAGCTGACCTATGAAGTCCAGACAGCCTAAGAGCTGTCGCTCTTCTGATGCCCGTCACAGTCGGTCAGAGACAGTCCTTTCGTGCAAAGCAGGCCACCTCCAAAGACAGAGGGCCACTTAAGTGAGAGCCAGTTCTGTAGCTGATGAATTTTTTGAAAGCCATACAGCTTATTTGTTGCCATCTGAATGATATTTTTATTATTGTACATGACTGGGGGGAAGTGGAGAACATCTGACTGGTATATATAAAGCATTAAAGGATGGAGAAAGTCGACAGAAAGATAGGTGGTGGTGGAGATTTGGGGACAGTCATTCCTCTAAAGCAGGTGGCTTAGATTTGGAGTTTTAACACATTGTAGAAGAATGGAGGAGTAAATAGCTGGTAGAACCAAAAGGCTTTCAGTAAAAAGTCAGGTGCTGTTTGCATTCTTTTTTGTAAGATTTGAGGCTAGATTTTTTTTTTCCCCCTCTATTTTCCTTCTCACGCTTTCCCTTTCCCTTTCTCTTCCTTTGCCTTCCTTGGAATGCAGATACATCTGGAATCAACTTTGGGACATTTTCACATAAGGATGCTGTGTATTCATGAAGTATAACCCCCATCAGAGCAGAAGCAAGGGTCCACTGAAGGGAGACTGCTGCATTAGGCACGGCAGAGAAGGGGTGAAATCCCCCTCGTGCTTGATCCTGGCTGCAGCTGAAGCAGAGGAGGTGCTTCTCAGTTGGAATGCAGATACATCTGGAATCAACTTTGGGACATTTTCACATAAGGATGCTGTGTATTCATGAAGTATAACCCCCATCAGAGCAGAAGCAAGGGTCCACTGAAGGGAGACTGCTGCATTAGGCACGGCAGAGAAGGGGTGAAATCCCCCTCGTGCTTGATCCTGGCTGCAGCTGAAGCAGAGGAGGTGCTTCTCAGTTCACGTAACCCACAGGCTACCCGCTGCTTGAGGGCAGAACAGCATTGCAGTGAAAAACACTAACAGGAATTAGTTCGGAAGGACTGATTCATAAGAAAGGTTAAAAGGGGGCCTGAGTGCACATGAGAAGGAAGCGTGACAATAAATAAAGAATATATGGATCATAGCAACCCCTAATGTATGAACAAAGCAGGAGCGGAAGGCAGAATAATGTCTGCCTCTGAACAGAAGTGTAACCAAGTAAAGTATTGCTTGTCTTAATTTTATTAAGTTGTGGCTCAACAAAGCATGTATTGACAAGAAAATCTACTTTCTCTTCCTGAAGAAAAAAGTAAAAATTACTTTGAGAAACAAAACCAAAACGAATTAAGAAAATCCAAAGAATATGGCATCAGGGAGTGCTTTCTGCTGAGAGAGCAGGTCAGATCTGGTCATTCTTTGACAGTTTGAGAGTGAACCCTTATGTCCACATGAGATCTGTGCAATGTGTGTTGTTTGGGTGCTGATTTTCATTGTTGCCCTTCAGCTGAAATAGTAAACTGTCATCAACAGCTTTTCAAAACCCTGTGCTGCTTCTAGTGCTTGCTTTGACTTTTTTGCTGTAGAAGGTTTGGCTTGGGCTCAATTATAGGCTTTATAACTAAGTTTTATCTAACTGCTTGAGCTGTTCTGAATTATTTGATTCCCACTTGTTCCTTTCCAGAATCTTGCTACAAAAATCATTTTGACCTTGGTCTTAGAGATTAGCTACCATCTTTTTTTATTGCTTTTTTTTTAATATAGCCCTGATCCATTGCTGAGCACTCCTGTAGTACAAATATTAATTTGACCAATTTCCTCTTTTGCTCCATCTCTGCTTTTATGCTTTTGTGAGCTTCTTGCTGCGTAGATTCTGGGGAGGAATGGATATTATCAGGTAGTAAGGAAAGTAGCATGGCAATATCCTGCTTAAGTACAATCACTAATGTAAAATACTCTTTGCTGCTTTTCTCAGAAGCGTTCCCTGTGGTTACTCTGGATAGAAGACCAGGAGTGACCTGTGAGCAGTGAATAGCTCAACTGTTTACATATAAACAGTGTTTCTTTGATTGATTATTTTTATGATACAATTTTAAAATAACAGCAGACAAATGTGTCTTTTGGTTTTTTTATAAATTAGGGTCATTTATCTCATTTCTTTCCCCAAGGCTTGCTTTTATTTTTCCCTGTCTTGCATGTTTTAAAGAGATTGCTATTCAGTGGAGTGAGGCAAAGGTCAGGGCAGGCCAGCACGGACAGCTGAGGACACCCAGCCTAATTGTGTATGCAAGAGGGGAATGGATGGATGGTCCAGAACGGGGCCACACTGCCACCTACAAAAGCAGCCAGTCTAGAAAGCAGCAGTACAAGTCTTGGCCCTAAAAACTAGTCCTAGTTCATACCCTCGTAGTGCATCGTTTTTGTGATGCTTCTTTATAGCTACAGCTGCTTCTTCTGGTTTTACCGGACTTTATGCCCTTGCAGCTGGCTCACTGATCGAGCAGCCTGGAAACAGTGGTTACACTGGCACACTTAGGTAGGGGTTCAAGCCCTTACCTAAAAATATTTGGAAAGTAAGCAGTGCCCTTCATTTTATATCCTGTGCCAACAAGAATATCTGATGAAATATTTGAGGCTTGTGTGTTACTATAGCATTGCAAAGAAACATGCAGCTGCCCAGCACTTTGAGGACATGGTGAGGTTTTAGTTCTGAAATACAAAGACATCACAGCTGATGACACCCAAGGATTTTTCTTTAAGGAAACATCTTCTGTGTAGGACACGCATCAGAACAATTTTAAATCTTTGAAATGGGGGGAAAGCGGGGAAGAGGATGAACTGACATAGTGTCCTAGCCCCTTCTTTTTGAAATCTGGATTTGAACAAACCTCAAAAGATTCCCACGAAAAATGAGTTTGAACTCCAGTCCTTTCCATGGCTTTCCAGGTGTGCATTGCAGAAATGCAACAGGTTTTGTAAGAGAGATAAGGGTCCCTCTTTGAGAGCAATCCTGCACGAGCACAGTCCTGCCTGTGAGGGTTTAAAAATGTGTAGAATCCTGAAATTCTTCTGGAAATCTTGTATCATGCTTGCTGAGACCAAGCTCCGTACTGCCCGCATTTTACATACATGCTTTAAACTGGGAGAAGGTTTGGGGTGTGAAGGAGTTCTTGGGCAGCTCTTCAGCCCCAACATTGTTAAGGGAAGGCTGGAAGAAAAGGAGGAACCTGAGATGGACTTTAGGCAGATTGTTCAGCCTTTTTATAACTCCTGTTAGTGTAATCAATAGTGTCCTGCTCTCCAGAACATCCCTCTGAATATTTGTAGTTCACAGCAACTTCTCCTTCTCGGTCTCCCCAGTAAAAGAATAATTTTGGTTTGGTTTGGTTTGATTTGTTTCAGAGATGGAAAAAGAGATCACCAGGAGACCGAAGAAAGTCTGCATTGTTAAAGTGGTGGGAACCAGGAACCTGTGGAAAAACATCGTAGTATTGTGTGTGAACTCGTAAGTCTGATCTCCTTCTGTTTGAGTAGTGTGGTTGGTGAGCTGGAAGCACTAATGGGAAGTGATGGGGGAGGTCCTCTCTTTCCCGGTGTGAGACCCTTCACTAGTGTCTTTGGCAAAAGATCCTGGAAAAACACCGGCTGTTGCAGGAAACTATTTTTTCTGGCAAACGTGCAGGAAATAATTTGCTGTTTCAGCCAGCAGCACCACACATCTTCTCAGGTGTTGTGCTGCAAGTGCATTGCTTTTGCCAGTGGTCTCACAGATCTCATATGGCCATGTGCTGGTACATGCTCATGCATGCAGACATCTGCTGCGAGCACCCGGGGTGGGATTTTTGAAACCATTAATACCACAAGAGTACAAGTTGAAGTTGTTTATGTCTGATATGCCTGTGTTGCAGAGCACGATGTTGCTTGCCAGTAAATACAAGCCTGCTCCCTTGTATAAGATCTGTCCTTGACAGGTCTTCAAAAGCAGATTACAAAGTGCTTTAGCTCTCCCAAATCATGCATGGGACACGCAGGGAGAATGTGCTATGTCACACAGAGCAATGTGATGCCTGCAGCCTAAGGCTTTGGCTTGGACATGCCAAACCAGGCATCTGCCTGAGGGTTTTGCAGGTTACAGGCTCTGAGACCTGCTGCCCAAACCTGAGCCCCTTGTAAAGAGGAAATAGATGGGCTGGAAATCTAGCCTCTAGCCAAACCCAACTTCTGGGGGGGGCATTGAGGGTGGATTTTTCAATCTTATAAAATGCCCATTTTAATTTCTTTGGTGATTTTTTTTTCCTGTGGGAGGTGGGGAGAAGACTGGAAATCCCCCATCCACGCCCTGTTTAGAAGCACATAGCTCTTGTGTCTTTCTCTTCATCACTTCAGGGCACTACCCTGCAGCCTTCTCTGCTGTTGACAGGCACATGGATCAGTCATAACCCAGCGGGGACAACCCCTGTGCTGGGCAGATAGTCACCCAGAAGCACACAGACTTCAGGGGTCTGTCTCCAGTGGCATCGGTTGCAGAACCAACTCTGGTTTTACAATTTTGTGTGTCTCTCCCACCTACCAACGGGTGACTCCCTCTGCTCTGAAACAGCATTTTCCTCTTAGGCTGAGCTGTTAGATTTAATAGCCAGTGTTAACTGGTTTTGTGAAAAACCTTCATGTGGGGAATCCTCCCCTTCTCCCTCACCCTCTTTCATTACACACATTTGGAAATTCCCTAGACCAGAACTAGGCAGCCCAAATAATAACTTCTGGCAAGAGCACGCAGAGGCTGTTTGCCATCCAAGTACAGTGTGAAGCAGATGAGTGTTTAAGGAAATAGCTTTCGCGTTTGTTTTTAGGGGGTGGGAAAAAAACCCTGTTTTATTTTAATCCTGTTATTCTTGTTAGATGGGGCTGTGCTAAATTTTTGTAGCGTGGAACACAGACAAGGAACCTTATGCAGGGAATTATGAGACATAAAGGCAAGATAAATGTATTTAGTTTTAAAAGCAACTGTTCTGAGCTGCTCAGCAAGTTAAGACCGTAGAGTAATTCCTGGGGAAGCAGGCTGGAAAGCAAAGTGCAAATGATAGATTAATTTGGTTTATAGGATATGGCCTAAAAAATAACTTCAGCAAGTGTGTTTGCATGCACAGGAGAGAGAGAGAGAAAGAGAGGTAGAGAAGATACACACTGGTTAACTCTGCCTTCTTATTAAATCTTGTTTTGCTGATTAATATTTTACTTATGGGAGGAGTCTGTTATAATTTAGATATCCAAAGCAAATGGCATTGTTGTGTAACAGCAAGTACTTGTGTTAGGTGTTTATCAGGGGAGGGTGTTTGGTATTGGAGGCGTAGTTTTGAACTCTAGCATTGGTTCACAAGATCACAATAGAAATTCCCCAGGCCCTGAGCTGTCACGCACTCAGCGATTGCATATTCCCCCAGCTGTTTCTATGGTTATATTAATATCCAGTTTACACTGACAGAGCTTCAAATTCCTGACATTCAGGAGGATAGAAGTATATCAGTATAATGTAGCTGCCATTCATTTTTTGGAGACCTGGATCTGTGCCTGCCACTCTGGCAAGCACAACTAATTTGTGACATGAGTTTTGTCTGGTCTAAATGCCAGGGGCAGGAGACCCTTCCCGGTGGGGGTATTTGTGCTGTGATGGGGGCAGTTGGGAGCATTGACCACCTGTAGCAGCTCTGCTGCAGCTTTGCACCATGTCGGGGGTGATGTTAGGGCTTCTTATCTGACTTCTGTACCTCCAGCCCCTGCTCTCCTTTCCTTTTTATTCCCTTCTCTTTTTCTTTTCCCTTCTCTTTTTCTTTTCCCTTCTCTTTTTCTTTTTTGGAAGGAGGTAGGGTGAGACAGAAGAAAAGAGTGAAATGCAGTGGCAAGATGTTGATCACTGGCATCGTGAGAAACTTTTAAAAGAATGGGAGATGCATTGCTATGAAGGGTGGTGTAAATGTGTAGATTGAATTAGGGTTTATTGTTTTATAATTGTAATAATCATTGCAGTGCAATGTGTGACTTCAAATACTTGTTTCTAGGGGATTTGCAGTTGTAGCAAACTAACTAACTGAGATGCAATCTTTAGTACAACCAAATGCCTTGGGCAGGTGGGTCTTCCTGGAAGGCACATCTGTATTGTGTAGTGTTTTGCTGTCTAAGCACACAGGCTGCTTCATCACAGCAGCACTGACTCTGTGGCCGTCAGAGGAGGCAGTGGGAACAGAGAGACATCCTTCTCAAGATAAAGGAGTTCTGGAATATATTGGGAAAACCAGTCACACAGTCCATATAAAGTTGCTCATTCCCCCATCTTGAGCAACAAATGAAACCAGTAAATTGCAAATGTCTGGTTGAATGGGGATTTTTCTTTGGTTTCTTTTGATCATTGCTTATTTTTACAGTAGCACGTAGGAGTCTGAGTTGAGTCTTTTTGCCCTAGGTATTGTATTCATGTTCCCACACTGAATTATGTTGCTGTGCATGGTTGCCTTCTCAGCCATGATCTCCTCTTGTCCTCTCCTGTTTCCCCCAGGCTGACTGGTTATGGCATACACCACTGTTTTGCAAAAAGCATGATGGGGCACGAAGCGAAGATGGCGATTACCCACAACTTCTATGCGGATTACTACACCATGGCTGGGATTGCACTGGCATCCTGCCTAGCCATGTGCCCAGTGGTCGGCTTTCTGGGGAGGAGAGGAGGACTCCTGCTTTTCATGATCCTTACAGCTCTGGCATCGCTTCTGCAGCTGGGCCTTCTCAACTGTAAGTTGGACATGAGAGCTTTTCAGGACCACGCAAGTTTGACATGCAAATAAGGGACCAGGAAATACTAGCATTTCCTTTGCCTTTCTCAGATTTGACATGCTGTACACCTTCTTAGTTTAAGAAGATGAATTAATCCAAAGGATTCCCCAAACACTTAGGTTCATTAACAAAAGGCGTTGTGTTCTGGATGAGTCCCTGTGGTGAAGTTTGTTGAGCATTGGGGCTGCTTATAGGGCTGTCACTTAAAAACAAACAAAGAAAAAACACTTCTAATTTTGTTTCAGTGAAATACCCTCTGGGGAAAGAGCTGGGTAAGGGTTGGGAAGGGAAATCTTTCCCACTTGAGTCTGCTTCTCGAATGGCCTCTGAACATGCAGAAGGTAAAGGAAAAGGTGTATGTCCTCTGCCTGCTCTGAGTGTATTGTTACATGTGAGTAATATACACAAAGCATGGAAATAGGCACCTGAAAGCCCACACTTTAACACAGTGTGTAGGTACAGCCCATGTGAACTTATACACATGATCTCGTGAGATGGCACGGCTTTTCAAATGGGTTGTTCCCATCAAAAGCAAGAGCATCCCACCTCCTTCTTTACAGGCAGTGACCTTTCTCTGGCCCTTTTGAACTGCTTCAGCTATTAAAATGGCTACAGAAATATTCTCTCTCCTTTTTTTATTTCCTTGTCTTAATTTTCTGTTGGTGGAGGAAGTTGAATGTGATGGATCAGAAAGGTGTTGAAGCAGAGGAAAGGTGAGATGTACTTTGCCACTCTCATAGCTGCCAACCCTTAGACCCCAGTCCCATGAAACCTCACCCCAACAAAGGGGGGAAGAGAGTTGAGACATGCTTTGGACAAACTGGATACGAGACGAACAACAGAACACTGGTTGTTACTGGTTTTAATTTCTAAGTTTAGAAATCATTAAGGGTCTTAATGAGAAAGAGGTTTTTGGACTGAGGATGGAAAGATTTCACATTCCCACACGCTGAAGGCAGCCCCAAGCCAGCACGAATTGTCCATATTTACAGACCGTGTTTCCTGAAAGCGTTTACTAAGTTAGCCCTTAGCAAACACGCTATTTGTGGAAAGGTAGGAGGGAAACAGGGAACCTCTTTCATGACACGGAGGAAACCTGAAAATCACATGTGTTTGCTCCCGGCTTGGCACAGATGTTTACATTCCCTTTGAGCACATGTTTACCATGTCCAGCTGTCCCAGCTAAGGGTGGGAGAAGCCCCCGGCCCCATCTCATCCCCAGCCCATTGACGATGTGACTGTTCACATGCAGATGCATGCTCTGTGTGTGTGCAGCCTCCCAAATATCCACGTTCTTGTGATGGTGCTCATCGGGGTCTCTCTACACTAGATTCATCTAATTTTTTATTTTTTTTAAGGACATCAGATGTTTGTTGAGGCTGTTGAAGTAACAAATATGCAATTGCATGTGGAGAGGAAGTGTGCCAGAGCTGTTACTCTGCTCCAGAGCCATGAAAATGTGGTTGCAGTTTTTCAACAACAAAAAAGGGGTGAGGGAGGTGGAAAGGAACACCCTGTAGGAGTCATTACAACCTTTTCTATAACGGGTTTAGGTGGTTTTATGAGAAAAGTTGCTAAAACTAAGAGCAGCCATGGGCTCCAGGTGCTTTCTGCTACGTTGGCACCTAGACTTCTTTCAAGGCCAGGCAGCCATCAGCCTTACCCACTCTGGCCTCATCCCTTTGTGAGAAGAGAAGGGAAAGGCACCCTCGAACTTCAGACAGCTCATCTCCCCCCACTCTAGACCATACCTCCCTTCTTCTTCAGAAGAGCTAGACAGTGTTTGGAGAGAAGTAGTGATTATGAAATCTGTTACAGCCTCCTCCATGTTTTTGTTTAGCATAATTTGGGTGTAATTAGCAGATCAAATCAAAATTTGAGAAGGAGGATGAGAGAAGAAGAGGGGTATTCTCCATCAACAGCAAACCCACAGTGGACCTTGAAGCTCGCCATGGCCAGCTCTTCCTCCAGACCCCAGGGTGTCGCCTGGGATGTCGCAGGAGCCTGGTCGGACACCACCAGCAGAGCTGTGCCCAGCTCGTGCCACCGCCCTTCCCCCTGCTGCCCAGTACTGCCATGTGCTACTGTGCGGTTAGGACGTGTGGCAGCCGCTGGCTAGGGGGACGTGGAGCACCAGCTCAGGGTTTTGGTAAGGAAGAGGTCTCCCACCTGTGCTTTCTTACTAAAGTTCTGTTGGCCATTGTCTCAGGGCTGCAGCAGGAGATCAGTTTCTCTTCTCCCCCTTCCTACAAATAAAGAGACCTTTGTGTTAATCCCAGTGGTAATTCTGGGGCTTTTAAAAATGCTTTACCACTGTGTTTGTTACCACTGTCTCATTAGCATGCTGTCCTCCAACTGAAAGGGGCCTGGAAATGGCATGTCCTATCTGGTGGCTAGGAGAAAATGGGCCAGTTTATGGCATGGGAAAAGAGAAGTATGTGGGGGGCTAACAGGGATATGTGGGATTTACCTTCTCTTTGGGTTTTTTGTTTGTGTGGGGTTTTTTATAAATTGCATAGGTAACAAGAGTATGTTGTTGTTTTCTCTCCCTTTCTCTCTTATTTTTATCTTACTCTAACTTCTGTCGTCTCGGATCCAGTGATTGGAAAATACAGTCAACTTCCAGACTCAGGTATGGTTTACAGATGTATCTGCATCATGCCAGAAGCACTCCCCTGGGAGTGGTTAGATCTGAAAGGCCGGGGCCAAAGGATCCAGAGCAGAGCTACTGCTGCAGAGGGGTGCAGGGGAAAGCCCACATCTGTGCAATGCCTTGGGACCCACTTGTAGGCAGGCCCATTTGTTTATATGCAGTCTCTTGGTGTAGCATCTTCTCCACATCATCTGACTTGCCTCTTGTGATGGGTTAGCTCTGCATGTCAAAAGAGGGTGCAGAGGTCCCCCAAGGTTTGTTTTTAGATATGGGGCAATGCTTTCTCAGAAAGTCTCCTTCTCAGAAGCAATGTTCCCACTTTGATCTTTTCCATAAGGGTCTGAGGTGCCAAAGTCCCTTTTCATAAGAGGACTTAAACACCTTAGAAAATACTTCCCCAGGCACCTTATCCCATCCTGGAGTACCATAGTAGCAATGCAGTGACAGGCTGCAGGGGAACAAAATTTACTTTTCTATGTTTGATATAACAGACCTGTCCTTGCCTGGCTTTTCCAAGGTCTGTTCTGCTGAGCAGTCACGACTCCCTGCAAAGTCAGTGGTGCAGCCTCACCAGCTGTGCAAGGGCTGCCAGGGAGCCTCAGACACCCTTAGTTTGCAAGGTGCTGTGCTCACATCCCTGTCTGCTGACAGCATTTGCTCTCTCCCAAAGACTTAGGCTGCATTGCAGGCAGGGCTTAGTCCTGAGATGGATGTTTTGGAAGTTGTAAGCTGAAAGCTTCTGCATACCTTTTGCTCTCCTGAGAGCTGATATATTCAGTAAGAAAAAAAGCAGGTGTTACTTGTCGTTGGATCCAACCCAGAGAGTGCACCTGCTTGGGACCACACGCTGATGAGCAGCCCTTCCTCTGGGCAGATCTTGGGACTTGGCTGTAGGAAGGGGGGGGGCTGTTGGATGCAAAGCTCCAGTCCTTTCCCCAGTGCTCTCGTAGGGCGTAATGTGTTCCCCTCGTATGGCACAGCAGTCTCTGCAAACAACATGGCCTCCTCGCTGGCCAGGACAGACCATGTGAGCTTGTACAGCCCTGGATCAGATATCCCACCCCTGCCCGCAGAAGGTGGCGAGCGGGGATCAGGAGACAGTGTTCTTTAGCTTTGTTTAGATTTACTGGGGTTTCTCCCTGTGCTTGATAGACACTGTTCACTCCCAGAAACCTTGCTGCCATCCAGCTGTGAAATGATTGAGCAAACAGCCTTGCTGGACACGGTGACTTAAGGGAGAGCTTCACCATCCATAGCATCGGCTTTTCTCGCCCAGCATTGTCAGGCAAAGGCTGTCAAGCTGGGGGTTACAGCAGAGTCTGCAGATTGATCACGTGCAGGGGCTTAGCACGGAGATGGGAGCGCTTTTATTCCTTTCAGTTCTTGTCCTGCGTGCCTCCCCAGTGCCTAAGCCACCAAGCAGGTGTTTAGTGACTTGATGAAGGCTGCCTGCCTCCGCTAGTCTGTCAAGCGTGGGAAGGCAGTAGCTGGTGCCTAAAAGACTGCCCAAAGATGTGTTTTTTCTTGGGTTTTACCTTTTTGTGGTGGCTGGGCATAAATAATTCAGGGATAGCTGCCATTTTTGGCACGACATTATGATTTTTTTTCACATATGTTTGTGTCTTGGGTGCTTGGGGAATGGATTTTATAAATACCAGTTTTAAATTAGTATTACAAAAATGACTCAAATTCTTGTCTAGCGAGAATGAGTAACATAAACCTGTATTCTGTTTTCTTCCTTGGAAGTTTGGCCTCGTTCTTGCTTTTTATAAACACACTTGTCTTGGCAGGTATGAGTGACAGTGTCAAAGACAAATTCTCTACCGCGTTTTCCATCGTGGGTATGTTTTCTTCACACGCCGTTGGAAGCCTCAGCGTGTTCTTCTGTGCTGAAATCACACCCACAGTAATCAGGTGAGACATTGGAGCCCCCCGCTTCAAAGGATGGGGATGAAATTATCCTCATTTGATTGATAACTGTCTGTGTAGCTGAACACATTTTATGGCAGGGGAAATTCCCCATAATCAGAGACCTTGCAGCAATTATTTGGCTGCTGTTTAATTTAACTTTGCTGCAGGCAGTGTGCCTAAGCCGATGCCTGCCTGTAGACAGAGAGGCTTTGCTTCCAATGGCTCCACCTTGTGTCCCATAGTGGTGATCATCAGCAGGGCAGGCATCATATCAATTGCGATTCTTTGCAGTGTGGTGAGATTTTAACTGCTTAGCTGAACCAGGCCATGCAGGTGAACCGCGTTATCGCTTTGCTTACTCTGCTGGCTTTGTACAAGCAATGACCTTGTGAGTCTGGGGCTTGGTATTCAAAGAGGAATTCCACCGGTGTGCAGGGGAGGATGTGTGCAGGCAATCCCTGCCTCTGTAGGGCAGGTTAATCAGGCCATCTGTAGGGGTGCTTCGGTGGAAAGGGGGTGTTGCAAGGTGTGGTGTTAAATGTTTTTGGTGCGTATAGGTGCTCTGAGAGTCTCCAATCCTGCCTCTCCTACAGCACCACTGTGAGGGGTCTGTGCCTTTATTGCAGATAAAGTCATCTTTCTCTTTGCACCCAGATCTATCTAAGCAGAGGCTCAGAGTTTTCTAAAGAGGAGCGCTTTCGTCCTAGACAATAGTAGAAATCAGGCAGATGATCTTCACTGGAAAGCTTCCCATAAAATGGCTTTGTATAGTCAGGTTTTTGTACCATTTTATGTATTGGCTGTTATCTTTCACAGCACAAAGGTTGTGCTTGTGTGTTCTGGATTATGCTTTCAGCAATGCCACAGCAATTCAGGAGTCTGCCCTGACTCCGTTGAATTTCCCAGGAATGTAGGTCATATGGGTGGGAGGGAGAGACGTTGGAGGGCAGAGGATACTCTTATTTTATTTTATTTTTCTCCAAATTATATGCTTTTTCAAAAACTTTGCAAAAGTATTATAGCAAAACTGTCAGCTGAGTATCCAGAGTCTTCTTGATCTGTGGCCTTTCTCCCCAGCTCTCTGGCTTTGTGGATTTTACAGATAACATTATTTCCACAGGGAAATGCAGTGTGAGTAGTGAGGAGATTATGCAGCAGCCCAAAACACTAACAGCTATTTACTTATGTGCATGTCAGTCAGTTTGGTGTTTTTATGCCTCTTTAATTTTCTCTTTGTCTCTGTTTGAAAGACATATGGATAAGGAATTGGCCACATCAAAACCAGAAGAGAATCTGCCAAGTAGGGTCAGATGTGCCGTGTTAACTTAGCAAGCTTTTTGCCTTAAATTACTTATGTTGCTGCAGTGAAGGGGGCAAAATCCTGTCTGGGAGACGAAATTCTGTTTCATAGAATCATACAATCGTAGAATAGTTTTAGTTGGAAGTGACCTTAAGGATCATCCAGTTCCAATCCCCCTGCCATGGGCAAGGACACCCTCCACTAGCCCAGGTTGCTCAAAGCCTCAACCAGCCTGCCCTTGAACGCTTCCAGGGATGGGGCATCCACAGCTTCTCTGGGCAACCTGTTCCAGTGGCTCATCACTCTCACAGTAACCCCCCCATCTCTGAGCAGGGAGAACAGCATTGCCATTATCAGGGTAGCAGAGACATGATCGCCAACCCATAGCACCTGTCCAGCTCTACCGCCATGTTGTTGAGATGAATGGTTACAACAGCAGAGGAGATAAACAGCCACCTTCATCGCCAAGAGGTGCCACTGGCTCCAGTGAGACAAAGGTCCTTTGCTGTCACACAGCACAGAGGGTCCTTCAGACCCTGGCACTGCACCCCAGTCTCCTGGAGATAGGTCAGAGGGCTTCACCAGAGAGTTCCCACTCCCCGCACCAGGCGTTTCCATTCAGGGCTCCTTCCAAATGCTGAATTTAAGCACTAAGTGGCACCGATAATCCATCTCTAATAATCTTGATGGGAACACCACTGAACACCATTTCAGGGCTATGAAATAGGAATAGGCTGAGGAAAGCACAGTGTGTCCTCTCCCCAACCTCTTGGTCACTAACAAGTGAAAAAGCACTGATTTCCTCTCTCTGTGTCCTGCCTTTGCCCCCACCCAAAGAAATGAAGAATGATCAGCAATGGGCGAATTAGGAGCTTTACCCATCAACAGCTGTCTTAAGCCGAATTTCCAGTGGGGTGCAGTGCTGTTTACTGGGACCTGAACCAGGCTTGGCTTTTCAAAGGTGGTGCTTTGCCCCATGAGGCCAAGGATGTCCTGGCATGTTACTGAAGGACTGAGCGCACAACAGAGTCACCTGTGTACACGAAAGGCAGGGAAAACCATGGAAGTTTTTGGAGACTGGCTTCAAGAAGTGGCTGAGCTGACTGGACACAGTCCTAAAAAACCTGGTCTGAACTCAGTGTTGGTCCCATTTTGTGTAGGGGGCTGGAGTAGATGTTCTCTCAAAGCCCTGCTCCAACCAGAGCATCTCTCTGGCTCTTCTGTATTCCGAGCCTGTCATCCTGTTTGCTCAAGACAGGCAAATGGCAACCCAAAGATCAGATTAGCATTTCTCTGTTCTCCTGAACAGTGCTGAGAAGGGCAAGTCCCCCTTCTTAGGTTTAGCCTGGTTGGAGCAAAGGATATCAGCGAGGATATTTTGCTGTTGTCTGAAAAAAACACTGTGGTAGCGAGTGAGGAAATTCTCCCCCATGATCAGGGAGGCCTAAAATTTTGGACCAAGGTTGTTTTTTGATTCATCCACATCAGGACCGTAAGGCTCATATAAACCATCCTGCCTCACTGCCACTGGGCAAGCAGGGGTCAGGGAGGTGGGAAAGCCCCCCACAGCAGCCGCTGCCAGGCAGAGGTGTGAGGAGAGAAGCTGGGGCTCACCGTGGGTGCCAGCAGCCCTCATGCTCCCTCAGCTCTGCTCTGCACCTCAGAGAGTGTTTGAAGTGCAGAGACCAATCCCCTGCCATGGGAGACCTCGTACTGAGGAGGAGTGGTGTCCTGAAACACCCCGGATGTTTTTGGTTTCCACTTGCTGCCCCACGGCACCCGTGAAGACAGTGTGAATTATGAAGGCACTGCCTCGCTTGCCCTGTGCCTGTTTTCCTGATGTGCACATGAAACCCAAAAAATTCCTGACAGTATTTTCAGTTTTCTTTTTTTTTTTTTCCATTTTCGTATTTTCAGCATAGTTAAACAAATAAAAAATCTTCTGGGATGCATGCCAAAATGTATTTTCAAGCCACCTTCTGACTGTTTTTGGTGGTGCTGGATAAAGTAATGCCTGCTCTAATTACTGACGTTGTACGGAAAAACTTTTTTTCCCCCTCCAAATCTGAAGCTGCTTGACCTGCAATGACAGAGCTGTCTTTGTTGTTGCCTTTTCCTGTTTTCTTTCAGCTTGCTTGATGCCCTTCTACAGCAGCTTTTAAAACTCACCTCAGGTCCTTCTCAGTGGTTGAGATACAATCTAGCGGTAGCAAACACCAATGTAAATGAGCTGAGCTTTTGTTTCTCCGGAGCCAACTTGGAGAGCGATTTGCCATGCGTACAGGGCTGGTTGTGTTGATTACTTATGTGAGTGTATTAATGAAGTTGCAGGGAGGCCACTTGCACAATGGCCACATTCAGCTGGCTTTCTAAATTGCTGTTGGAAAGCTGGCAATTTGTTAATAAGGGCTTTTGCCATATTTGGGGAAATTACTGTTGTCTGTGAAAGATTCTCTGCCAAGCCTGGAAAACTAGAAGGTACAGACATGAATTTTTGATCCAGTTGGTGTCCCAAGAGCATCTTTTGAAACCTGCGCTTGCTGCCCTTCAGCTGTCAAGTAGAAAGCAGGGGATTTTGGAAAGGACTGAGTGAAGATCAGCTTTAACATGGTAGTTGGCTGAGAGAATGTGGCATTTGTAGGTTTATAGTGCTGTGATTTGTAGTATGGTCAATACTGGAAATTCAGGTATTGACCATACTAGAAATCACAGCACTATAAACCTATATTTCAAGCTGGTGAAACTTTTTTCCCCAAGAAGTTGATGTCAAGCAGTACATTTGCCTTCTGCAGTTGTCTTCCATAAGGTCCGGTTATCATTAGTTGATACATATCTGCCCTTGGGCCAGGAACTGAAGCTCCTGAGCCCATTGGATCAGTAGAGGGTTTGGGAATAGCTGGCATCTCCTGGAGGAGCTGCAGAAAGCGGGCTGCCCTTGTGAGCTGGGTGGGGGACCAGGGAGCAGGGTGCCAGAGATTAAGCTCATGGGGGGACCTCCCTCTGCAGGTGGCAGGGCCTGTGGAAAATCAAGGACAAGATGCTGCTCCTAGAACTGTTGCTAAAATGAGTCACTTGAGGGTGATGCTCTGCTGGCTGGAGACTTTGGTTGTGCCGCGGCAGGAGGAGGGAATGGTCTGTCCTGGAGAAACACCTGCAGTGCTGCTTCTGTGCAGGGTCACCCAGTGGGGACACAACCCAGGAGCATGGACTGTGCCTCAATGTGAGGTGGTGTGTGACCAGAGGTGTGCCAGGCATGCTGGCTCCAGGACCTGGAGAGATGTTGATGAGCATGATGGGGAATTGCAAGAGAGGTTGCTTGCATAGCTGAGCATCAGGAAGGAGCCCTGAACTTGGCTTGCCCAAGCGACTTTCATGCTTGTGACTGGGGGGAGTTGAGGTTATTTTCACACTTTTTTTTTTTTAAGCTTTAATGTGTTTTCACTTTTTTTGGAGTCCATGCATGTGTATTCTCAATATATGAGCACATTGCATTTAATAAATAAGCATTTGTGCCATAAAGAATATCTTATATAATGTTATCTATTTACAATTTACTCGTTTCACCAATGTTAACCTTGTAACCCCTTACTGTGATACAAGAATACACAAGAAGAGTAAGAGAGAGTGAAGTGAGGGACCTACCTCAACTTGTACAGTGAGTTAATAGGAGGTCTCAGAAATTAATCCCAAACTCTTGTTCTCCTTTTCTGACCACTAGCTATCTTCTTTTTTTTTTTTTTCCTGAAAATGATATGTGTTATTACAATGTCAGTGTGTTGAGAGGTTCCAGCCACAACACATTTTTATGGAGATATTTCAACACTCAGCATTTGGTATAACGGATCGAGGCAGTGGCATGTAAAGTTTAACCTCCTGCCTCTGCTGCTGATAGACCAGATACTCTAGTGGCAGCCCAAACTAATTTCTGTACCTACTGCTTCTTGGTGTGTCTTGTGGAAGCAGGGGAAGGCTCGCATGCTAAGCAAAATATGGTTTTCCCTCACTGAATATAGGAATGCTTGGAAATGGGAAGACTTCAGAGGGCCATCTCCACACTCACATGGCCAAGAAGGCCAACGGCATCCTGGCCTGCATCAGCAATAGTGTGGCCAGCAGGACTAGGGAAGGGATTGTGCCCCTGTACTCGGCACTGGTGAGGCCCCACCTTGAATCCTGTGTTCAGTTTTGGGCCCCTCGCCACAAGAAGGACATTGAGGTGCTGGAGCAGGTCCAGAGAAGGGCAATGAAGCTGGTGAAGGGTCTGGAGCACAGGTCTTATGAGGAGCAGCTGAGGGAGCTGGGGTTGTTCAGTCTAGAGAAGAGGAGGCTGAGAGGAGACCTCATCACTCTCTACAACTACCTGAAAGGAGGGTGTAGTGAGGTGGGTGCTGGCCTCTTCTCTAAAGTAACAAGTGATAGGACAAGAGGAAATGGCCTCAGGTTGAGTCGGGGAGGTTTAGGCTGGATATTAAAAAAAAATTCTTCACTGAAAGAGTGATCAGGCATTGGAACAGGCTAACCCAGGAAAAGGTGGGGTTGCCTGGAGGTGTTCGAGAAATGTGTAGATGTGGTGCTTCGGGACATGGTTTAGTGAGTTAGGCGGTGTTGGGTTGATGGTTGGACTTGATGATCCTTGAGGTCTTTTCCAACCTTAATGATTCTATGATTCTACATGATAAAGCTCCTCTTTTCCTTATGTGGGGGCAGTTGTATGGGTGTGAGAAGATACTTTAGTGCATATAGTTGTTTCCCCACACTGAGGCAAATAGGCAGCAGTGACCTACAAGAGCAAAGCATACTGGAGTAACTGTGCAGTATGAAAGCTGCAAGCAAACCAGCGGGTGGTCTGGGGGACCCCTCAGGGGTGTGGACTCCCCACCCTGGTGCTGATGGGGCTGCGCTGGCGGGGCTCTCACCTCTGCTGTGTTTGCAGGGGAGGTGGACTGGGGCTGGTCCTGGCCAGTGCAGGCTTCGGCCGCCTGACCGCCCCCATCATGGAGCTGCACAACCAGAAAGGCTACTTCCTCCACCACGTCATCTTCGCTTGCTGTACACTCATCTGCATCATCTGTATCCTGCTGCTGCCGGAGAGCAAGAACCAGAACCTGCCCGAGAACATCCCGGATGGGGAACATTACACCCGGCAGCCCCTCCTGCCGCACAAGAAGGGGGAGCAGCCCCTGCTCCTGACAAACTCTGAACTCAAGGATTACTCCGGCCTCCACGACTCAGCAGCTGTGAGCGATGGGATCTCCGAGAACACCACTGCCAATGGGATGAAGTCGATGTAACTGGGTGGAATTTTTTTCCTTCTTTTTTTTTTGGTTGTGTTGGTTTTTTCCTTCTCTTTCTTTTGTATTTTATTTGATGCTGTTGTGCAGGAGGAGCAGCACTTTGGGCAAAGGTGTTTTGCACAGGTTTTACAAACCAGTGATGGAGCAGATACAGACTTGGGGGAATTCAACTCTGCTGCTAAAGCAACTTCTGGCATTTTCAACTGTTGTGCAGATTGCTCTTGAAAAAAAGTTATGGGGGAAAAGACTCATCTGAGAAAAGACCTGACTGGAGGTAGCCCTTCAGAACTCATTTTTTCCTGCCATTAAATATGTATATTTATTTTGATTTATTCTCAAGAAGCACTTTATTTCCTTTTCCTTTCATAGATCACAAAAATGAAGCCATCTTATTATAAGAGGTGCAGCCATTCCAAGAAAGAAACCATGTGGGGGGGGGGGGTTTTCTGTTTTGTTTTTGTGTTTCTCTAAAGGAAAGAGGGATCCACTGCAAAGTTGAATGGACTGAAATTTAGACTTGTGCAACATTGTTCTGCCTGTCTAGAAAGTCCAAGCGCCCAGGTTGCCTGCTGTGTTTGTATACACCAAAAAAAAAAAAAAAAAAAAAAAAGAAAAAAAGAAAAACCTGTTGTGACTCAAACTCTGACTGCATTTTAGGCAGCTTATGATTGTTTTTATAGCCCATGTGCACTTAAAAGTTACTTTCTAAATTAGTACTTTTTGTTTTCACCAAATGCAGTGAAGAAAATCCTACCCAAACAAGCTGATTCTTCAATGAAAGTCAGCCTTCTGCATTTTAAGAGTCCATTAATCTACTTTAGACAGTTCCTGCTGGCATTTAATAGTAATGTAGATGATGTAAATGATTTGACCAATGATGCAAAAATTAGTTTTGCCAAGAATGGCTTTAATTACAAGGAGGCCCAGAATCTCTGATCAGCTGCTCCAGGAGAAGAGCATTGACCTGCAGGGACAAAAAGTGAGGAGCATGGGCTATGATCTGTACTTTTATTCCAAAAGGCAGTGCAGCTGGGATTCTTGCTCCTGGGAAATGAGTGTTCTGGCATTGCCTTACCTGTTCTTAGAAACAGGGTTTTTGTTTTCAGTTTAAGTGGACAAAATGTGTAAGTGACTGTTGGAAAGGAATGAATTGATAGCCTGTGAATAATGACTTGCAGTCTGCTGTTGGCCATCTTGGGGCTTTTAGAGATGTTTTCTGGTTATGACTCACAAATACACAGTGAACTTGTCCAAACTTCCCCTATTCCCCAATCGGTCTCATAGGATTTTCATTCAGGGAAAAAAAAATTTTACTTGAATGGGATTAATCCTACTCTAGGCTAAGCAAAGTGAACAACCAGTTTGTCTCCTACTGTGCAGATGGCACTTTGATAGTGGCCACTTGACTTCTCTCCTTCAGCCCCCAAACCAACTATTTCCTTTGGCCATCAGCTTTTGGTTCTCACTGTGCGAATATAGTGAGGATCTAGTTCAATGCAAGGACTTTGTAAACAAACAGCTTTCTTGCATTGTAGTTAACTTCCCTGCTCTCCCTCCCTCCTCTCCTTTCTCATTCAGGCCATCCATTCGTGATTGCTCCATAGTGCAGATGTTCAAACAAACAGAGCAGCAGGATGTCAATGTTTTATTGAGTGTCCATACAATTGCCACTTTGTTTGATGTACAACTTGCGTTTATAGGCATGGAAAGCGCTCATTTGCACTTTCCTCCTCTACCTTCCCTCCCCCTTCCTCCTTTACTGTATATATTGTTGATTAACTACTGTACCTAACAATTTCCATCCTCCATTGGGCTGCCAATGTCCTCTTACAGGCCCCACTAAATCAGAGATACGTGCTCCTTGGTGGGCAATGCAGTAAGTAGCGCAGCCTCAGATGCTGACAAGTGCAAGGGGACAGGTAGACCTGCAGAAGCGACAGAGATTGTTCTGTTCAGAGTAACAATGTTGTCCTAAAGCTGCTAATTTTTCTACAGAGGATGTGGACATACAGGTTCTTCTAGAGCCTGGTAAGAAACACTGGACCAGTTGATGGTAGTTTTGCCCAAAGTTTTTTCCCACCTTTGCTAGACTTGCTGTGACAGCGAGAGCCCAATCTTCTTCCTTACACTCAAGTTTTATTGTCGAGCTTGAGCGCAGCTCCTTCTCTTTTTGTTCTGCATTGACACTTCTGCAGTCTGCGCTCACCTAAGGAAAAAGTCCAGGCCTTCCCCATTCGTGCAGTATTCACGTGCCAAATTTGTGCAATAACATTTGCCTTCAACATGAGATGCTCGTTGCAAGCCACACACGTCTGGGGGTTGGGGAAGGAGGGAGTGGGGTCACAGCAAAAAGCTGAAGAAGCAAAACAAGTCTTAAGGGAAGAGAAAAAGGGCCTGGAAATGGAGCAGGGGCGAGCGCAGAGGCAGGGAGCGGGTCGAGGCATCCTGCCATCCATCATGCTGCAGAGCCAGCAGCTCCTTCGCTCGTGGTCTCTGTGCGTGTGTGCTCAAGCTACGGTACAGCTCTTGTAGACCTATTAATCCAGCTGCTTCCAGCACTGCCAGCGGTCCTCGTGGGCTCACCACTGTTGTCCACAGCGCTTTATCGTTTCCTGTTCTGGTGGTTGCTCTCTGATGACAGACAGGCCCAGGGAAGAGAATGGCTGTTTAAACATATCAACATTTTTATAATAAACTAGGTGACAGGAACAAGCGGCAGATTATTTTTTTTTATTCTTACAAAATTGACTTGATTTGCTGCTTTTTTTTTTTTTTTTTTTTTTTTTTTTTTTCACGAAATCAGGTAGCCGGTACTGATCTTCTGCCACGTGGGGAGCCCCAGCTTCTCAAGCTGGTCTGGCCCTCTGCCTCTCTCATGACAATAAAACACAAACCAATTTCCTGCTTTGGCAGCTCCAGTTTTGCTCCTTTGCCTGAAAAGGTGAACAATTCACTGATTTATTTTTTCCCCACACGTGCATACAGAGTTGGAAGGCTTTTGCTAAGCACATCTCATGTGGAGGAATCGGGTACCAGGTGATGCAGCAGAGCAGACAGGAGCCATGGGGACGCTTACCAACCTTTCCCTAGCCCCAGAGAGGGAGGAGGCTCTCAGTCTGCTGTACCACCAGCTCCTCTGCCGTCATCGCCAGAACGGCTTTTCTCAGGCAGCTCTTTCTGGCCACCACAGCAGGGGAAGTGGCCAAAGCTGTCCTGTCTGTTTTGGCCTTTTTCTGTGAATCTTCAGTAACCTCTAAGCCCATCAGTGGATTTTTCTTTGGCTTTACCATTTAAGGGCTTTCTTCCATCTTTGTAACGTTAAACAAAAATGTGAAAGTGACGTTGTGTTTGATCTTGGGGATTCTTTTCCCCTTTTAAGGTTTCAGTACTGCTTTTGTTGCCAGAGACACTGCAAAGGGATAAGGACAGGCACCTGTTTGCAAATGTTTTGTGGCCATACAGAAAAGGTGTTGCATGATTTGCTTTTTGGTTTTGTTGAGCAGGCTTTTTTTTTTTCCTTAGTGGAAGTATTTTACTTAATTGTTGCCACTTCCTGGAGCCAAACTCTAAAGGTCACCAAACTGGAAGCAGAAGTGCCATTAACTGAACTCTGTGAATGTCAAGTCATGTTGCGCCTGTAGCTGGCATATAAGACAACACTATTAAGCAGGGGGATGATCTTCCCTGCTGTAACTTTTTTTTTTTTTTTTTTAAGAAAAATAAAATTACAAACCTCATTTTAAATGTATTGTGTAAAATGTTTCGGGAAAGGAGTATGATGTGTTATGTCTAGTGGGTGAGACCTCCCTCCCCATTTAAGTTTCTGATGAAGTTTTAAAGAATCGTGTTACTGTATGTTTTGATCATGAATAGTCTGCTGGTGCTTCCTCATAGCACAAGCTTAAATCAGTACTGAAAACAGTCTTACAAGCTAAATGTCTGCATGATGTTACATCCGTTGTACCTACTGAAAAGAACTTTGTATGTAAATGTACAGAATAAAATGACGTCGTCCCATCAGTTTACTCTCCTTGGTCTGGCTCCCTTGCAGCAACTTCTGAAACAGCCCAGCAGCAGCTACCGTGATACCTCCGCAAACAGCCCTGCCCACCTCTACAAGCAGAATTAGCTGATTTTAAATCAGACTAATCAAATCAGCATGTTGATTTGCAACTAATTACCTTTTACATTCAGCCACAGAAGAACAGTTGACTTGGTTTCCTGGGTAGTGTCAACTAAAAAGAAAATACCCTCCCAACAGTTGCTTTTTGCTATTCTGATCTTGAACTGAACCAGGTAAGGAAGGGCCATCTGTGCCCACGTCCAACCTGCAACATCAAAGCCACTGGGTGTTCAAACCCCTCGGACAAGAGACTCATCAGGGGTTGCACCTTCCACATCAGCAACCTCTGGGTTACAGTTTTTAATTGCCCATTATGGCACCCCAGCAAGGTAAGTCCATCAGTTTTGTGTAGGTTTTTAGGACAGTTGTCTAGCAGCAGCACTAGTAGTTTTTGTTTGTATCAGAAGCTTATGTCCAAGTCAGCATTCGACTTGCAATGTAAAAGAAGTAATCTGGACTCACTCACCAGGTTGCTACACTCAGCATGCCTCCAAATGGCTGTGAATAATAGGTGGTGTGCTCTAGCACAGCACCTATCGACAGCTGCCAACGGTCCCTGCACCACTGCCTCTGTGGTCGGTCTGGGGTTTTTTGTGTAGTTAACTTTTAGCTGCCCTTCTTGTTGAACAAAATAGCCCCCGGATCTGCCTCTGAAAGGATATCCTTCTTACCTAAAAGCAAGTCCGGAGATGTAGCAGCAGGATGCTGTGCGGTGGTGGTGGTAGTGGCTGCTCTGATTTTTGGAGATGTAGCAGCAGGATGCTGTGCAGTGGTGGTGGTGGTAGTGGCTGCTCTGATTTTTCTAACAAGTATGCTGAATTTACACATATGATGGTCTTCCAGCAGCCTGACAGATTTATCTGTTGCTCCAAAATTCAAGCTGTGCTTTTTCCTTCTATATAGCCCTCAGGGATGTACAGAAAACCCTTTGTTAAACTCCTCTCATATTCTCAGTGCCCAAGAGATGGAAGGAAATCCCATGTTTAGCACTAGTGCTATAACCAACAGGGGCTAAAAAAATAGAGCAAGATAACACTCATCTTGTGTTACAGCTTTTCAATACTAGAAACATGTTTTGGATGGTTTTATTTTTTTATTTGAACACTAAAAGCTGCTATACCATGTTCAATACTAGTACGTGGTAGATTAGTTGTACAGGTAGAATTTGGAACTGATTTCCCAGCAAATCCCTGTACAGGATGCAAGCCAGACACTGCACACACTTTTACAACGATGTTCTCACATTGCAGTGTATTTTCTACTCTACTTGCCTCTCTCCTACCTAACAGCACCAAATTTGGAAAAAAAATCCAGGCCCAACTGTATTTAGATCCAGCTATATTTAATAACAACTGCAAATTCAATCAAAACAATACAAAACAAATATACTAACTTAATGTCAGTGTGAAAATTGCAATCAGTTTTTCTAAAACAAAAACTTCAGGTTATTTTACAATGA